CATCTCCTGGAGGTGTCATCAGGGCTGTGCACCACCCGGCAGGGCTCAGCTGTGCCCACTCCAGGTCCCTGGGTGGTCAGCTGTGTGGGGCTTTGCAGCTCCGTCTGCTCACCTGCCGACACCTGCACCAGGTGTGCTGGGCAGGTGTGTATCAGGGGCCTCTATGATGGAGGTCAGACTTGGGGAGACTACAGGGACTTTTTGGAAATAAACCAACCCTGGTGCCATCTGTATCCCGTAATAGTAATCGGTGGGCGAAGAGCTGGGCACCGTGCTCGGTAACCTTCACAGCAGTAGCTGCAGGCGGGCCTCTGCATTACCAGTCGGGACTGCAGGGTTGGAAAATGCACTGCAGGAAGATAATTGCTTGTTAAGTCCTCTAAATTTTAGGTAGGAGAAAAGATCTAATGACTGGGATAAGATAGCAGATTTGAATTTAAAATGCAGATTGAGCATTCCGAAAATGAAAATGTGAAATCTAAAATCCAAAGCATTTTGAGAACCAACATGATCCTGCAAGTTTATAATTTGGGAGCCTTTTAGATTTTCAGAATTCGGATGCTCAACTGGTGAAGTCTATGCAAATTTTCCCAAACTGGAAAAACGGAAATATCTCTGGTCCCCAGAATTTCCGTAAGGGTCCCTCGTGAGGTCCATGGTGCCTGCCGTTGCCAGCGAGGCCTCAGCCCATGGTTCTTTCCTTTGTGTTTGAAGTGGTTAGGGTCAGGGTTAGGGTAACCCTAAGTGGTTCGAGGAATTGTAGAAAACACATTTCGGCAGTTCCTTCGCTCACCTGCCGGGCCTGGTCTGTCAGGGCCGCAGTCCTGCCGTGAGGCCTGCAGCTCCGGAGCGTCCCGCTTAGTCATGGTCCTTCCTCTGCCGCAGCCTGCATGCCGCCACTGCGGGCTGACCTTTATTGAATTATTAAGGCTTTGGGTTGATGACAAATAGCTGTATTTGCTTTTCATGTTCTGATTGTCATGTAAGTCCAGAGAAATCCTACAAGCCAGTTGCTAGTGGGGGTGATGTTTAGAACGATAAAATACTGCAGAGAAATCGTAATTCTGCGGCGTGTCTCCGGGTGGGGAGCCCAGTGGCCCGAGAAGGGAAGAGCCCCCACTCTCACTAGGAGGCGGTGCGGAGCTGAGACCAGAAGAGCAAAGGTCAGGAGCGAGCCAGCTGCATTCCTGGGCGCCTTTCCCACCTGCAGCGTTGGCGCTCAGAGCCCTGGCAGCATCTCTCCTGGTGACTCTACCAAAACGTTAGAGGGCGCAAACGAGCAAGTAGCTGTGCGGTTCCCTCTTTGGTGGGTGGGGGCCCACTCAGGAGAGCGGGGGCGCTGATCCCCACAGGTCCAGCTCCTCGGGAGGTGGAAGGCCTGGGACAGCCAGGGCTGCTGCTTCTGTGGGAGCTTGAGGGGCCGGACAGGCTCCATTTCTTCCCCTTGCTCTAGAGGAGACCCAGTCTAGTGAGGGCGCAGGTGTGAATCCAGGGTGCCTGGGTCCACATGGCCAAGCCTCGCGAGGCCAAACCCAGAGTCTGGCCCACGCCCAGGGCCCTGGCCTGGGTCCTGTGGGGGCACAGCTGAGAACTGCAGCCCGTGCGGTGACGTTTTCAGATGTTCCTGAGCGAGGATGAGTTGGGAAGGCCGGGGCAGGATGGGCCTCTGTCCCCGGCAGGGTTCTCGGCATGTTTATTAACCCAGGAGCACAAGCCCTGCTTATTTCTGTCATCTTCCGGACAGGAAGCGGAGGCAGGGACAGTTCAGCAGCTTGCTGGGGCCTCCTGGACAGTCAAGGCTGCATGGGGCGGGGATTGGAACCTGGGGCCGACTCTACCCACTGATTGCTCATGCCAGTGAGTGGGTGTCAATGACGCGCCCTGTCTGTGCCCTCCCTGCCCCCTGCCGAGGGCACCGCAGACTCCCCTTGGGACTTTGTTGGGGACCAGCAGAGCTTTCCCTGGCACCAGCAGTGGCTTGCACACAGCAGGCGCGCCCTGAGGGAGGAGGCGGGCGTGCAGGGCTGGTGTGGGCATCTGGGGTGGAGCCCAGATCACTCCTGGCTCCCGAGTCCGATGCAGCCGTCCAGGTGGGTCCCCTGCACTGGAGCCCTGGTGCCGGGTCAGCCTGCTATGCTGACTGCAGGCCAGGGGCACGCATGGGTCTGGCACTCGCACATGTGTGTGAGATACATGTTCACACTTGGCAGCCATGTAGAGTAAAGCAGTAGCCTGTCGCTGGGGTTATGCTAGTCTGCAGGAAGAGACCACACACGGGGTGGCTGAAACCATAGCAGTTGGATGGCTCAGTCCTGACAGCTCGAGAAGTCTAAGGTCAGTGTGTAGCAGTAGGGTCGGTTCCTCCTGCCGCAGAGAGACCCTGTCCCCCGGCCCTCCAGGCCCTGGCAGCTTCCTGGCCCTCGGTGTTGCAGATCTGTGCCCTAGTCTTCATGCGGCACACTGTGTGTGTGTGTGTGTGTGTGTGTCCCACACTAGTTACACCCACAGGGGCCTTATTTCCAAGGAACATCAGTCACGTTCCAAGGCAGTGGGACTACAACATCAATGTGGGTGTTGGGAGGGACAGAGGTCGCCATGGAGGTGAGGACGGCTGCCGCGTGAGGTCAGGTTGCTCCCTCAGGTGAGCGTGAGGAGCAGGTGCGTGTGCACCACTCAGGATTTCTCAGCCTCTGGAGCACCAAAGACAGGCCTTCCTTTGAGAAATGCACCTACCTCAGTCCCCCCTAACTGCTCGGGAGAGTCTACTGCAGAAAGATGTGGGCTGCTCAGGCCGGCCCCGCCCCAGCCCAGTCCTGAAGGTGTGGGAACAACTTGGAAACCGCAGCCAGCTCCTAGCCCAGGAGTCTTCCCGGATTAGCCAGGTCTCAGAGCACATGGCTTCCTGTGGCATCGCAGTGACGTCGCCCGGGTGCGACCCCCCTCTCGTCAGAGGCTGGGGAATCACAGGAGAGGCTTTTAAATGTGTGCACACTTCACAGCTCCTTCTCCTTGACCCCGACCAGGGTGCGAAGGAAAAGGCCTTCCCAGGGTCAAGAGTAACAGATTTGCTTTTCAGATGTTATTTTTCTTGAAAAGTTGAATTCTGTTCCTCTTCCCCCAAAATGGCAAGTTTCCAGGATCTCTTTTTAAAAACTTAAGAATAGGAAGATCATATCGATGGCTGTCTGGACTTCACATTTTTCTCCCGTGAGCAGTTTTATTACACATTAGGCTCTTTCATCAATCAAGCTGTGACCCTCGGCAGAACTTGGGAGCGACACGAATGACGCTGTCAGGGCCGCTGCCGTGGGCTGGGCACTGCTCAGAGGGCTCTGTGTGAACCCGGCACCTCTTGTCCTTGGGATGTCACAGTCGTCTTAGGGTTGGGGGCACTGAGGTGGCCAGAGGGGGAATTGGCAAGGTGAGGCCCCGGGTTCAGAGCTGGTTCAGTGTTGGAGCCTGTGGGCCTGCCAGTCGCTGGGTGTCTCACTTGGGGGGTGTCGGATGCAGTGACAGGCCTGCAGGGGAAGGGGTGGCATCCCTTTTCTTTCCCAGCTTGGGGACCTGGCGTCACCTTTGATCCGTCCCACAGGAAGTGCAGATGCAGCTGTACCTCGGCTGGCAGGGGTGCCGTGTCCTAGCTGTCCCTGCCGTGTCCTCCAGGTGCCTTTCTGCCTGACCCCGTTCTGTGACCTCACCCCTCTTCCCAGGGACGGGGGCACCAACCCAAGAGTGAATCTGCTTTATTGTCATACTGGGCGATTTTCTTTGTGTTTTATTATTCAGCAAACCAATGCTCAACAAACCAAGCGTGGTTCCCTGTTACAGAGTAGGCATGGCCTGAGTGCCTGTGTGTGTCTGTGTGTGGCTCTGTGTGTGCGTGTGTGTGTGTGCGCATGCACACACACACGCTAGCTGGCCCACTCTAGCCAGCCCCTCTGGAGCGCCCTGGACACTTCTTTGGGGGTGGGGAGGAGATTGTAGCCGGTCAGCGTCTTGGTCACTAAGTTCTGTGCTCTGGACAGGAAGATCCCGGCCTGGCGCCACCTTGGGCAGTTCTGGGGAGCAGGGGCCCTGTGTGCAGCCTCTGGCAGTGTTGTTCTCTGGAGTTGTCACTTGGGGTCAGAAAGTACCTTCCCCAAGTAGCGGGAAGTGAGAGCCAGGAATGGACGCGTGGGGATCGAGACTCCCGTGAGGCCGACCTAGGGCGGACGCAGAGCCCGCAGCCTTGGGTGCTTTGTCCCCACAGATGGGGAGGAAACCAGAGCAGTGGCCTCTCCCACTGGGCGTGCGGCCCGGCCTGCTCCTCGCCTCCATCTTTGTCCCCGCAGTCCAGCAGGGTCCCTGTTTCCTTGCTAACCCACGTGGCTGCTAACGCCTCTTGGTCAGCGCTGCACCCTGGGTCAGCCTGTGCGGAGCCCCAGCCGGTAGCTTTGTCTAACACCTGTGTTGTGGTCGGCATCCTCCCCTAACCGCCCTGTAACCGTAACCGTAACCGTGCCGCGGAGCCCCGCTCATGGTGTCTGTGTCTCCCCTGCAGAACTGGGTTTCCCTTGAGGAGAATACAGGGCTGAGCCCGGGCCGCAGACTAGGGAGCCGTTGAGCACGGAGATGTGTCTGTGGTTCGTGGCCCCGAGCAGAGCATGACAGTGTCATTGTCCCTGTGTCCCCGCCAGGGAGAGCCTCGGAATTGACGTAAAAAGGCTGCGCGAGAACCCCGCGCTCCTCACGCCAGGCGAGGCGCGCCAGCCTTGTCCCGGACGCTGTGCCTCCTCCCCAGAAGCCGCCACGGGCTCCGAGACGAGCATTTCGCTCTGAGCTCAGTTGTCCTCAAATTCAGTGGTCGCAGGAGCCATCTCAAATCACTCCCAAGTGCTCAGAGTCAGTGGCCCCAGGGCGGCCACCCAGGGTGTATTTTTCCACAAGCGAAGCCCAAGTCTGTCTGCCCTCCTCCCGCCGCCCTGCCTTTCCTCCATAACCAGGTGTTTTGTGTATGGCAGGTGGCAGGTTCAAGAAGGAAATCGTGGTGGACGGACAGAGCTATCTGCTGCTGATTAGAGATGAAGGGGGCCCCCCGGAGGCGCAGGTGAGTACTGCATGCAGACGGCCCTCCTGAGGCTCTGCCAACGGCTTTCAGAGGGGCGGCGGAGACCACCGAAGGGGTCGGCTTGGCTGGGCTTTTTTCTTTTTTCTTTTAAGAGCAAAGCAAGCTGAATTTGCACGTATGTGAAAACTCCATTGAAATGGCATCTAGAATTTTTGCAGGTTTTTTGTTTGTTTTTCCCCTTTAATTGGCCTGATCTCGCAGAAGGACGACGAGTCCGCTGCGTGGCATGTGGACTCTGACCTTCCCTCTGCTCTGTGGCTGGCAGGCTTGGCGTCCCCGTGAGCCTGCTGCCCTCCTCAGCAGAGCTGTCGCCACGGAAAATGGACAGCGGCCGACCATGCTTTCTTTGAAAAGACCTAGAAAGAGCTGGGCGTGCTGGTGCATACCTGAAACCCCAGCTCTCTGGGAGGCTGAGGCAGGAGAATCATCAGTTTGAGTCCTGCCTGGGCAAACTAGTGAGATCCTTTGTGAAAATAAACGACTGGGGATGCAGCTCAGCTCGAAGAGAGAGAGAGAGAGAGAGACAGGCGGACAGACAGATCTTGGAAGTAATGTGAGAGTTTGGGAAACTTCTTTCATTTATTCATCCAACTCATTATTTCACTTACATCATACTTTCCTAACTAAATACTTGAAGGGCTCCCAAGGGCTGGTAACAGCGCATGACCCACCAGTGCAAACTCATTTCTGCACCTTCTCGGCATTCACCCTGAGCACCTCTCCGTGTGAGGTGGGAAACACAAGGGGGTGGGATGGGGGGCTGCTGAAGGCTCTGTGCTCCGTACACTGGGAGGTCGTCCGGGTATTCTGTGAATGGCGTGTTTCCACCGAGTTCCCGGATGTAGCGCCACTGATGATCAGGCGTGCCCGTGTTCCAGTGTCCGAGCACACTCTGGACTGTTGGCGAGATAAGGTGCAGACGCCCTCAGAGGTGCTGAGGTGGAGATTTTCCTTCCTCGCGCTGAGGGTGCTGCACACTTGACTGTGATCGGGGAAACTCCCAGAGATGCTAGGAAGTAGAGAGTGGGGAACCAAGCAGTTCGAGTGCCTGTCTGGACCCCCGGGTGCCTGTCCGTCAAGTGGGTCATGGTTTGGCTTCGGGTGGTGCGACCGGAAGCTTGCAGTGGTGAAAGCCAAGCAGTCCTGCTCGGCTGGCTTAGCATGGCGGCCGAGTCTCCTGCCACAGGAAGGGCTCTTGGGACAGGCTCCTCAGAGGCAGCTGGGACTTGGGAGAGTGTGGCGGTAAAGTGTGAGGTCAGTAAAGTGTGAGGTCGCCTGGTTCAAGGCCCACCTTCCCCAGGACGCACTTGTTCTGGAGCGAGCAGGGACGGAGCAGCGGGAGGTGGAGCCTCAGCAGGACGTGCTGGGGTGGCAGGACAGCAATCTGCAGAACCGCTGCTCTGGAGAGGCTTCGCCTCCCGCCCTGCAGCGCGTCCGGAGAGACCAAGGGCCGGACGCAGACCTCTGTGCTGCCAGAGGGGACTCGCCAGCATGGCCGCCTCGGGTCGGGACTGACCGTAACCAGGGTGTTGTGTGTTCAGAGCAGCTGTGGGGCCCGGGGACAGGACAGGAAAGCTCAGCCAGGGCGTGGGGCCGCAAGCCCTGGCTCTGTGAGGCTGTGTTGGGTGTGGGGTTAACCCTACAGTGAACGCGCTGGGCTGCCTCTTTGTTTAGACACCTTTGGGGGTGCTGGGGGCCTAGCTCCGTGACAGAGCACATGCTTAGCATCGGTGGGGGCCTGGGTTCCACCCCCAGGTTCAAAAAGTTAAATAAAAACTAAAAACCTGCTTATCATAAAGCCCGTGACTTGCTGTTTCCACGGCCACGCAACCAGCGGACAGAACCCGAGTATTGTGTCGCAAGTGGAAGTTTGCCTCTGAGAAAGATCTTTCCTCTGATGCCCACGGGAACATACATCTCCGCATAGCGTAAAACGCCTAGCACATGTAATATAATTTGGTGAAGTGACGTTTTCCTTTCTTTCAGCCACTATGATTATTAAAGGTGTTGCTGTAAGAGAGAAACGGTCCAGGCCTGCGGCAGGCAGTCCTGGTTTGCTCCTCTCCCTGCTTTCCGGGGAGCGCCCGTGCAGCGCACCACACCCGGCCCACCTCCTGCCAGCCTGCAGGCAGGTGGGGATGCTGACACCCCGAGGTCTCGCCCCAAGGACATGGGGGCAGGGGCAGGATCTGCCAGCACCCTTTCCAGCTCTGGAGCAGAGCCGGGACCCTCAGGTCTCTCTCATCTGAGCACGAGAAGGGCTGACTCGGTTTCCACTCCTTCCCGGAGTGCTCAGCCTCCCCCTCACCCCCTCTCTCCACAGTTTGCCATGTGGGTGGACGCTGTCATATTTGTCTTCAGCTTGGAGGACGAGATCAGCTTCCAGACCGTCTACCACTACTACAGTCGAATGGCCAACTACCGGAACACGAGCGAGATCCCTCTCGTGCTGGTGGGGACCCAGGGTAAGTGGCCTCCAGGGCAGGGCTTCGGGGCGGGCCGACTCTGGTGCGCGATTCACTGCAGGGGTCTGGCTTCCTCCGCCAAGGGCTCTCGTTCTGCTGGGAGAACCTGTGCAGCTGGCTCACCTGCCCTTTCTTAGTTCAGTTCCATGGAAGACACCTAGAGCAGCTTCAAAACAAAACAGGCAGACAGCTGTAGACGCACGCGCAGGAACAGATATGCATGGACGTGTGATTCTGTTGGTCAGTGTCACGATTTCCTTTTTCACGTGCAGGGGTTTCTGGGTGTATCACACTGGGCACAGTGCTTGTGTTCGTCCCAGTCACTTGAGGCTTGCTGTCTTAGTAGAGTGACCAGCACACAGAATTGGACCCAGCACCCTTGTTTCTGACTGTGGATTCCTGTTTGTGCTGCTGTTTACCATTGGATTCTTTTGTTTCCCCTATCATTGAATTCTGACCAGTATCAGATTGTTCTAAATATTAGATGCAAGTCACATTTTAAGATGGCTTTGGGGCTTTTATGTTTTTTTAATTAGTACATTTTTGCCATACATATTATATTGATGGTGGGGAGTTGGGATGTGTACACAGTGCATCTTAATCCTTTTTATTTCCCCTTTCCCTCCCTTCATCCCTTCTCCTTCCATCTCTAGATCTCCTCCCATCCTCAAAAAGATGGATTTGTCAGCAATATGGGCAACTTAAAAAAGAATCATGTCAGGAAAAATTGTATCACCCCTCATCTTCGTTGTTGTTGTTAATGTGCTGCCCTCGGTCCAGCCTTTAGAGTTCACAGATGTGCGGTGCCCGCGGTGACCCATGTTACACCCGCCACTTAGGAAGTTAGCCGTGCGGACGGAGCCCTAGGAAGGGCTAGGGTGAAGAATGAGAGCACGCTCCGCCAAGGGTGGCTGCCAGGGTGGGTATGTGTGCTGAGAGAAGTGAAGAGCTGAGGAATGAAGAAAGCATCCTCGCAGTGCTCTGGGTGGAAAAGTTGGGTTTCCATGGAGAGCATGACCCCTTTTGGCCTTGATGGCTAGTGCAGCTCTCTTTACTGAAACCTTCCGGGTCAGGCAGGTTTAGGAAAAACCAGAGGAAGGTCTTTGTGCCTGCAGCGCCCTCTAGTGGTCACCAGGAGACAAGGGCACTCAAAACAACCTTGGTTCTTACACCAAGTGCAGTCGCCCCTTTGTGTTGTAGGTTCCAAATCTGAAGATTCAACCAAGTTAAAGAAAAAAATTCATCCAGGGCTGGGGATTTAGCTCAGTGGTTCTGGCACCTGCCTCACAAGCGCAAGGTCCCGAGTTCAATCCCCGGTACCCGCCCCCCCCCCCAAAAAAATTTATCCATACTGAACATGCACAGGCTTTTTTCTTGTTATTCCCTAAGCAATATCAGGTAACAGTTATTAGGATTTGCACTGCATTAGGAGTCAGAAGTAATGCAGAGGTGGTTTAGGGATTATGGGAGATGCTAGGGTTATATGCAGATTCTGTGCCATTTTCTGTGAGGACCGGAGTCCTGGACCCGTCCCCTGTGGACACCCCAGTGAAGGCGTTGGTATAGCTGAGGCGCTGACCTGGGAATTCCTCATGAGTGTTTGAAAGTGGGTAACACCCCCAGCAGAGTCTCCTCACTGCTGTCTCAAAGGCGAAGAGAGCTTACACGTGCCTGTCTGGCGGCCTGGCCCAGCTGTGTTCAGGTAGCCAATGGTGAACGCACGTGTGGGGGCTTAGGCCCCGAGCTGCATGGCCAGCCCAGCCTGCCCTCCTGCTGGGGACTCACGGTGATGGGGCACAGGGCTCCCAGTCTGTGCGGGCAGATCAGATTTGATGAGTTCGCCCTCCTAGTGCCACCCTAGAGCTTCTGCTGAGAGGGGGTCGACTGAGGCCAGGCCCGGGCAGTGGCCCACGCACAGCTAAGTGGCCCTGCCGGGGTAAACGGGAACTCGAGTGATACGTGTCTGGTAGTAGTTGCCTTGGGTCTCTATAGCTCAGCATATGGCCGTTCCCCTGAGGTTCTGCTTGGGCTAGCAGAAGCAGGTCCCTCATCTGGGCTGCCCCATCCCTGCACATAAGCCCATCCCTCTGAGTCGTCTGTCTGCAGAGGAGCCCATGCTCAGCCACTTGGTGACTCCGGAACCCTTAGGAAGTTGGGGTCCCGAGCTAACAGCTGCTGGTGGAAGGCAGCACAACAGGGAGGCCATGGTGGGTGTGCGAATCAGGGAGCCACATGCAAGGCTGATCCTCTGGGGGGCAGCCTGGGAGCTGTCCTCTCCCTGCTCGCAGGCTCTGGCCACACTTGAGGTGTGGTTGTCAGCCCAGCCCCCGGCGTACAGGACAGCAGGGTTTCTGTCAGGGACGCTTCTGGAGGGAGTGACAGCCTCTCTGTCCTCAACCAGCTTCCCCCAGTGCCAGAGTGCCCTGGGCAGGGGTGGGGTGGCCTCCCAGGTGCACGGGGGCTGCCTGCGATCTCCATGCTCACAGCTCTTCTTTCTGGGTCACTCGGGCTGTGGGACAGGCAGGGTGGGGAGGCTGCGATGGGACCTGAAGTTGCCTCCCGCTGTGGAGTGGTGGCGTGGAGCTCAGGACTTGGGTGGGGAGAACCACAGGAGGCTTGGCCCCTTCCTCCACACCAGGGGCAGCGCAGGGGCCGGACGCAGCTGAGGGACAGTACATGAGCATTTCCCCAGCCAGGATCTGTCTTGCACACTGAGAGTTAGATTGACTGACGAAGGGCAAGGTTTACAAAGATGCAGAGTTAGAAGTGGAGTGAAAAGAGCCAGTAGAACTGCGCTGTGGTGTGCATGGTGCACTCGGGCGGGCGGGCGGGCGATGGGAAGGCAGAGCAGGGGCTCTGCTCAGGACGGAGCGGCTGCAGGATTGTGGGGCCCAGGCCCAGGTGAAACTTAGGCTGCCTGGGTGCCCTGTGGCCTGTGTTTTCCAAACTGTACTAAAGCTTCCGGAAGTTAGGGAATGCAACGGGGTGCGGTGGCGCACAAGTGTAATCCCAGCACTCAGGAGGCAGAGGCAGGAGGATTGATACTAGTTTGAGGCCAGTGTGGGCTTCATAGCAAGACCCTGTCTCAACAAGCCAAAAAAAAAATTAGGGATTTCTTTGTCGATGCTACTTTCTTATGAAATATTTACACCTTTGAAAAATACTTCTTTTCCATATATGTTGCAAAATGCAAGTGAGATTTAGTGATGTGCAAGACAGAACAGGTGGAAGTTTCTCCATCTGGGTCCCTGGCAGTGGACGGGCCCCATTCAGCAGATTCCTGGCTCACACTGGATCACCTTGGGGCAAACAGCACTTAGACCTAGGGCATAGGGCTGAAAAGTAAGATGAATAAAAGGAATGAGAAAGAAGGAAAGTGACTAAAGTGTTCCTTGAGATGTCTTTTTGTAATGCATTAAAAGCCTGGTGCCAGACACCCTTCCTATGCAACAATGGACGAGATTTACACAGCCCCAGTGGCTGGTGTGGCTTGTGCCGCTGCCGCCCTGACGGGTGGAGAAACGCTCCTGGAGCTTCTCAGAGATGCAGGTTAGAAAATCGCCTCTGCTTGTCCTGTTAGGTCACGTGCGCACACAGGGGCCCAGACCCCGCCCTTCTCTGTTCCTGTGTTCCTGGCAGGACTCAGAGCCTCTGCAGGGTGGGGCACTGTGGCTGCCTGGCTGTGGAAATAGGCACTGTCTCTGGTGGGGGAGGAGTAGCTGGTGCCGACCCCTGCCACGCCTCACAGGTGCCCCCATCAGTGCACCCCCATCCTGAAGGCCACCGTGACCCCGAGTCGGTGTGCGCCAGTTCACAGTGGGGGTCCTGCCTGCAGCCTGAAGCCAGCCCTTCATGTGGCCAGCAAGGCCCTGCTCACATCCGTGTCCCTGCCCCCTTTAAAAACATCCCCTAAAGCTGCAGCTCCCCCTGCCCGCCTCCTCTCTGTCCCCGCCATTAGTGCTCTGGCCTTCGTATATTCACCAGGAGCGGTCCCTCACTCCCCTTCTGGGCCAGCCTGGATGTTGAGTCTGTGGAGCTGCAGAGCTTCGTTTGTCTTGTCCCCTGTGGCATCCATGCGTGTGGACCAGGCCCAGGGACCTCAGCCAGGCACAGTGGGCACTTACGAGGGTCGGTGGGTGGGTGTGACCCCTGCAGGCTGGCGCCAGGCTACGGAATGTGTCTGGCAGAGCGCTGGACAGGAGGTGACGGTGGACAGGAGGTGACGGTGGCCGTGTCTGGGTTTCCATTCTCCGTCTTTTCCCTACAGCTGTATTTACTCTCCGGCTGCTCTGGACATTTAGCCTCAAGTTCTCCTTTAGGACACGGGCTGAAGCGTATTCTGGAGCTGGAGACTATTATTTTGAGGGTAAACTGTTGAGAGGACTCCAGATTCTCGAAGGGCCGACACCTCTGCTGGCTGAGGTGCAGTTGTGAGCAGCTGGCCCGGCACCCGGATTCCCGGAAGGATGCAGCTGCCGGGGTGTGTCGTCACCCAGCCCTTACCTCTTGGTCTTCTGTTGCAGATGCCATAAGTTCCACGAACCCGCGGGTCATTGATGATGCCAGGGCCCGGAAGCTGTCCAACGACCTGAAGCGGTGCACGTACTACGAGACGTGTGCCACGTACGGGCTCAACGTGGAGCGGGTCTTTCAGGACGGTAAATACTCGCGGCTCGGCATCTGCCAGCTTAGGGACAAGGGGTGCGGCACTGGGGAGAATGGCCTTGCCCGCATGCGGTGGCAGGGGCCTGTCACGTGGTATGTGGGCCTTGGCCTGGGGACAGGAGGCGACTTGGTTCTGCTCCACTTCCAGTGGTGTGTTTAGAAGAGGCTGTGAGATACCTACTTGCTTTTTATACGCCCACTTCGCAGTACATGATCACATTCATTGCGGGGAACTCACACATCTTAAATCTCTTTCCCACTACTTGTTCCCCTCCCTCTAGCCCTCGGGCCCTATCCTTTTTGAGAAACCACACAGCTGCTTTAACACATTCCCTGCGTAGATTATCTGCCCACGTCCCTCCCCGGCTCACCAGGGGAAACATTCTTCATTTACTCACACATCCCCTCGACCCTCCGCATGTGCCTTCTTTTTAATTATTGTAACTGCTCCTTCCAAATCCAGTCTGTTCTCTGAGAAAGGGTGAAAATATTTAATGTCAGGCTTTGAGGAAAATAAGCTAAAAGAATAGAGAAGCCAGGTCTGGACTCCCCTCCCCTTAAAAACCCACAAAACCAAAAACCCATACTAGGATTCGAGGCCAAGGTTAAGGGCTCAGCATTTAGGCATTGCTTTACATCACTGCACTCGTTATTGATCTGCCACCTCTGGGAGCTGCTGTGAATGGGGCGGGGGTTCTCCAGGAAGAGCGTCAGGATCCAGGGTCTCCCTTAGGCAGGCAAGGCCAGATGTAGGCCATGAGGGGCCCATGAGGGGGCCGTGAGCAGGGGTGGAGAGAAGCGGGTCTCCAGCCTCATCTCTGAAAGGCCGGGAAAGCCTTAGCTTTAGTCAGAGTCTGAAGTCTTGGGAAATCACTCCCAGACCCCTCCCCTCTGGGTTACATCCACAGTGCAGATCCCCTGCTGCCCTGCCCTGGGGCTGAGGGGGCTGTGGGCAGCAGAGTGGTGCTGCCAGGCATGGGCCCTCCAGTGGCTGCCTGGGCCGTGCACTGCCCCTGAAGAACAGTGGCCAGTGCTGGTTGAAACAGTGCCTCTCGGGCTGCTCCTGCCCTTGCCCTGTCCCAGGCAACCCTTGTAGCTCTCCAGCTGAGTTTGCAGATGAGGCTGAAGGGATTTCATACTTGTTTCTAGTGGATTTCAGGACTGTGTCAGGTTTCCAGCTTTGCATTTGTTCCCTCTCCTTTTGCAGCCGAGCACCTTTCTGAGCTTTGAAATTTCTTTCTTCTCTGCTTCACGGAAAATTTAGTTTTTCTGCACTTTTGTCCCATTAACTCCTCCCTGGCTCATGTTATTTATCATCTTTACCAATACCAATGCCAGAGGAGCCCAGGACTCCCCAGGGAAGCAGCACAGTGCGAGGTCCCCAGGGGCCCACTGCCCCTTCCTCCCTCTGCCATGTGTCCCGGACCTCCTTGGGCAGGCTCCACTGGGAACACATCCTGTTAGCAGCCACCTGCCTGGATTAGTCAGCTTTCTCATTGCTGGGATAAAGTACTGTACCTGACCCTTCACTTTAAAGGAAGAGATGGTTAATGTGGCTCACGGTTTTGGGGGGTTCAGTCCATGGTTAGCTGGCTCCAAGGTAGAAACATGGTGGAAGGGCCTGGAGGAAGAAAGCTGCTCTCCCTATGGCAGCCAGGAAGCAGAGAGAAGGGAGACGCTTGGGAGGAAGAGACACCCTGCAAGGGCACAGTGGCTAGTGATCTGCCTTTCAACCAGCCCCACCTCCTAACAGCACATCTGGCCATGAACTCATCAGTGCATGAACCCACCAGTGAGTACAGTGCCCCCATGATCCAGTCACCTTCCAAAGGCCACACCTCTGACCACATGAACCTTTGGGGAGGCATTTGAGGTCTAAACCATAACACCACCTGGGAATGCCTGGTGGGCACGTGTCATGCAGGGGACTGCAGCTCCAGGAAGACTGGGGACACTGAAGGGACGAATGGCATGGAGGCACTTGGGGTCCTTCTGGGAGGTGGCTCCCACAGGGCGAGGTCGGAGTACTGTACACGAAGGCCCTGCAGCAGGGCCACAGCCAGCCTCGGTGGTTGATGTGCAGCCATGCCTGTGTCTCGGATCCAGCTGCACCCCAGCTGTGGCAGAGGCTGCATGGCTGCAGAGCCTGAGGCCTGGGTTCCATCCCTCTGCAGGGTTGCTCATCCCTGGTGGAGGTAACCGATGCTCAGGTGTGGGTGAACTGACTCTCCCCCAGTTTGCTTTGTTTCCTAAGTGATTGTGGTCTGCAAACATGAATTTTCCACAAATAAATGAAGTCATAAAAGAAATTCCAAGCAACGACAAAACTGGTGTTTTCCTGCCAAACGCTGCACTTTAATGCGTTGTGTTGAGCCCGTGCTGGAACAAACCCCGTGGGCTGAGAGCATGAAGGGCGCTCATTCATTTCTCGGCTCTGGAAGAATTGGCTGGGGTGGAGTCTGAGGCCCACTTCCTGTTCGCAAATGACCACGTGGCAGTGAGCAGAGAGGAAGCCAGGCCCGCCCTGTCCCGCCCCTTGCTGTAAGGGCCCCAATCCCATCCACGAGGCTCCATCTTCATGAGCCAGTCCTCTCCCAGAGGCCCCGCCCCCTGACACCATCAGCACGGAGGAAGGGTTTCAACACACGGATCTGGGCGGCACGCCCATAATCCCAGCATTCTGGGAGGCTGAGGCAGGAGGATTGTAAGGCTAGGCAATTTAGCAAGATCCTGATTTAAGATAGAAAATACATTTTACCAAAAGCATTTTATCGCCCTCCTCGGGGCGGGATGTTGGCAGGAGGGGAGGAGCATTCTTCCAAAGCTCGATGTTTCAAGTACTGAGGGCCAGGTGTCCCTGCCCCCGTGGCCATGTGACCCCCAACCTACGCTTAGTGCCTATTTTCAGGGCTTGAGCACCTTCAGTTCATTTTATTTTAGAAATAATACATTAGATATTTGTATTTCCCAGAATATGAAAAGGTGCTACAATGTCTGACCACCGTGGAGTGTTTTGGTCCTTAAAATATTTTTAGTTATGTAAAGATAAATTTTAAAATAAAGTAGGGGTCCCTGCCTATTTTATATTGCAGTCGTGTGTTACATACCCATTATTTGCTTCATCATGAGCTTCTCTCGCTGGGAGTGATACGGGTCGTTGCTGAGTAGGGACGGTACTCAGTGCTCGGCTCCTGAAAAGTTACAGCCCATTTAATTCCCAAGGGAAAAATCACTCCTGAGATTTAGGGTTGGAGAAACTGAGGCTCAGAAAAGCTGGGTAACTTCACCAGAGGCCCAGAGCTGGATCAGACCTGTCTCCTGGACCCCGCAAGCCTGGAGCCGTGCCCGGACGCAAGGCTGCTTAGTTGTGCAGCCGCAGCAGCGGTGGCCCTGCCACACTCCCGGGAAGGGGAAGGCTGGGGGGGCTCCCGGCCCACACGCCCTCCACAGGGTGCTCTTTCCACCTTCCGCCTGCCTGTATTCCCTGGGGCTTTGTTACTTACGTTTTAGGCCATTGCTTTGTAGAGAAAGAAAACAGTGTATACTTTCTGTGCAGTATTTCGCTTGTGAAAAGAACCAAGAGCATCCACCGCCAACACCAGCTTCCTCCTCTGCTGCCATAATTTGGCTTCTTAGTGTCCTGAACCAGAAATATAGCTGTATTGGCCTTTCTTTCCAGCCTGTCACGAAGCAGCGGCCAGCAAGTGGCATTTAGGCAGCTGAGCAGGGAGGTTCTCAGCTCGGTTCTGGCCCTGTCTTAGCTTTGGAGATGGAGGCAGTCACTGGCTGGTCTGCAGGGCTTGCCGGGAAGGTGGGCAGGCTCCACAAGGGGGCGCTCTAAATAAGCTTTGGCACCGTACTTCCTGTTTCTGCCAGGCCTGGCGTGTGCTGCTGGGATTACAGTGGCCCGCTCAGGCCGGGTCTGAGGGCTTGGGCAGCTGCTGACTGCAAAGGGCCCTCCTTGTCCTGGTCCACCGCAGCCCACGCCTCCATCTCAGATTCTAGGTGCTTCTGTTGGCTGCTTGTGGAGTCTGAGGGATGAGCTTTGTATTTTTAAGGTTAAAATGATAATTTCTGTGTTGGTATTAATTTTTTTAAAAACAGTACTTTGCTCTGTAGTTCAGGCTGGGCTGGAACTTATTAAGTAGCACAGGCAGGCCTTAAAACTCACAGTGATCTTTCTGCCTCAGCCTCCCAAGTGCTGGGATTCCAGGCATGCACCACTACACCCAGCTAGCATTAAATGTTTTGAAAGCTCCTGGTCATTTCTTCTCCTAGGGCCTGGATGCATGAGCTGAAGGGTTATAGAGAGATTCAGAAAAACAGTTCATTGTCTGCAGACTTCATTTCTTTTGCTGTAATTTTTTTAAGAGAAATTTCTTTTCTCACGGTTTATTAAAGAACAGCTCTCTGGGTGGTAGAATCTCTTGCTGGGAGCCCCTGTCGGCCGTGGCCTTGTGCCCAGCTGCAGGATGGTGAAGGGTAGCAGTGGTGAGGGTCTGCCCAGCCTGTGACCTGGCATAGTTCCAACGTAGCAGCAGAAGTAGATTCTTAAGGACTGGGCAGTAGGCAAGGTCACAAAAGCCACGTGTGTGTAGGGAGTCACAGGACCCCTTTGAACGCGCCATACACCATCTTGAGAGGCTTGGTGCTTGCACATGATAGCTACAGGTTAGCTTCTTGCTGGCGGGGTTCAGTGACTATGAAGTTCAGTCTCCTTTTCAGAACCTTTGTGATTGCTCTGTGTACACCGAGTGTCCCTCTTGGGAACCTATTTTGCTTCAGGTGACAGGGGTCCACCGTGCCACCTGCACACGGTGATTTATGTCACAGTATCTTACCTGACAGGCAGAACCAGCTGTGTGTTTCAATGGTTTACAAGGTAGACCAAAAACCGAGGATCCCAAGTTTTATGGAGCATATTTTATGATTTTTAAATTGTGTACTGGCTTGTTCGTGGTATTTTAAAGTCTCTCATTCCTACAGAAGGGTGGTTCCCCTTTGGACAGAGTGTCAAATAGAGCCAGGTAGCAAATGCAAAGAACTGTTCTCAGCTTGCCTTGTGTAAGCTCCTTGATACACACATACACACACACACACACGCCTGCACGCGCACGCACACACACACTGCACCCTGGGATGATACAGGTTTATGTGAGTTGTAAGCAATGTTGCTTACATTGCCTATGTTACATTGGGTTGTTCACTTGTATCAGTTATTTTGTTATGAAGTTTAATCTCTACTCATTTGTGAAATCTCAGTACAAAGGAACATATTGCCCATATCACAGAGACTGTGCTAAGGAATTCCATGCACTAAGCCCATCTTACCTTCTTCAGCTTACATTCTAGGCCAGGAGGAAAAGCTGCCTGCAGCATTCTACTGCAGCAGCGGTGGCCAGGCTAGTCGGGGTGCTCCTATGGAAGATACATTGTGAATTGTCGCCGGTTTAGTGACCCCATCTAGTTAGGAGGCTTTCATCCTAGGACAGGCTGTCACTCAGCCAGAAGAAAGAGTTCCGTTTACCTAGTACACGCAGTTGGGAGAGCTGGCCCATGGCACCAGAAGGGTGGTGTCCTGTGTCCGCTGCTGGCACAGGCACGGCCTCCATGCCCACGCCAGCCTGTGATGCACACTCGTGCACACCACCCCTGTGCATGGCACGGTCTGGCAGAGAGGCCCGTGCTCTGGGAATGCCTGTCTGTCCTTCAGCCCCGCTGCCCGGCTGACTGCATGTGTGTTGCAGTCAGGGTCCCCCATAGCTCTTTCCTGGCAGCCATTCCTCTGGCTTTTGCCTCTGCCCAGTGACAGCTCACTGGGTGTTGATCCATCTGTGATCCAGGAGCCTGAGCTGGGGAGTCACCTCCTTTCCAGGAGCATGGGGCCGAGTTGGAGAGCCTCGGTTTACTTTTCCATCCTCTGCTCCCAGAGGATGAGATCCGGGTATACAAAGAATCCCGTTTCCCACTGAACATCTGCAGCTGCTCGGCCGTAATTATAGGAGTGTCCAGACCAAGGGTGGCAGTATTAATGAGCCTGTTTGTGCACCCTAATTGCCTGTGCTGGAGCATCATTAAATGCAGGCAGTCTTCTGGGGCTTTCTTCCGAGCGCAGTGTCATCTTGTACCGTTCTGTTCTGCTGACACCGAGGCCCTTGCACTGTTAAAGGATGTGTCAATTAGGCCTGCTCCCTTCGTTCCGGGGCCCATGTAATTCTCCTTCTTGGGTGGCCTGTGGTATTATTTGTTTTTGTTGCTGTTGTTTTTCTCCTTTTTTATGTGAGAAATTACATTAGAGCCACGGGGGGGAGGGTGGTAAAAGGGTATTTTCAAAAATAAGATCTGTCACCCTTGAAAACAAAGCCGTGTGTGTGTGTGTGTTTTGCATAATGAGTCGTCGAGTGTCTGCTAATACAGTTGTGCTGCCTGACATTTATGTAGAGGTTCAGGGCTCTGTTGTACAGGTAGGACAGTAGGCCGTATTAGGACCAGTTTACAGCTGGTAGACATGGATTGTCATACAGCACAGCTGGCATTAGTTGTCTTGGTCACTTGTGCTACGACGAAATACCTGACAGCTGCAGATTAAGCTTTATTTTGGCATGTTTACAGTCCATGGTGGGCGAGCTCCAAGGCAGGAAGCCCGGGCAGAGGAGCATAGCAGACCGGAAGCAGACGGAGTGGAAGGAGGAGCTGGAGGGAGATGGACCCCTCCAGGCCCCGCCCACAGTGACCCGCTTGCAACCAGGCTCCACCCCCACCCCACCCCACCCCCAGTGGCATGTTTGGCTGTAGGCAGCTCCTGGCATCTCTGGGATCCAGTCGCCTTCCAAAGCGCCAGCGATGAGCACCTGAGACTTCAGAGGCGCATCTAGGTATAAACCATAACCCCGGCGAAGCTGTTTCCGGTTTCTGCCTGCAGGGGCGCCCACCGTGGCCGTGTCTGCTCTCCCCACACACGTTCACTGCGCCCTGGCCTTGAGGTGGTGTATTTCCAAAAGCCCCGGGGACGGGTGGGTGGGTGGGTGGCTTGTATTAGGACAGGGTGAGAGAGAGTGAGCTGCTTCAGTTACACTTTGCAGACGAGGATTCATATTCTAAAATTCCTAACAAAGGTGATCTGAGAACAGTGTCTTACCCGCGTTAGGCTGGCTAGCGCTCATGCCTTGCTAAAGGGGAAAAGAAAACACACTTCGGGTTCCCCGAAAGCCCATTGGTTAAGTCTCCCGAGGCGGTCATGGTCCTTGCCCGGCCTCTGCCTTCCTCTTACATTAACCACAAGCATCGCTGGCCGTGAGACCCTGTGTGAATTTGGATCTCCAGGGAAACCACGCCTGGCCCAGGACACCCGACCTCCCTAGACTGAAGAGATCCTGGTCTGGTGTTGACCTTGCGTGGACTTTGTCTTCAGCCAGTGGTTGCAGTGCTGGCGTGAGAAGGAGTCCGGGGGCCTGCCTGGGGCACTGTCTCTTGGAGCGCAGCCCTCTTTTATGTTTAAGTGGGAAAGTAAGCATTTTTTATAAAACACGACATTGCCAGTATCCCTTGTGTGTACATTTTCAAATTTAGTTTTTAATCAAAGCTTTCTCACGTAACAGGGTTTAGTCACAAATTGAAATAATACCTAATACAAAAAGTAAAACACAAGCTTCATATGTAAACCTTATATTCAGAGGTTTTAAAAAACAGAACTTAGTATTTTTTTAAAAAAACACTCTTGCCAAAAATTCTCACGGTTGTGTTGCTGTAAAAGCACATTTTGTAGATGAGCTAAGCCTCTGGCATGAAAGTGGGGGCCGAATCCTTCAAACATCCTCAGTAAATCTGGACTATATTAGGACGAAGTTAGTTACTAAGCTACACCAACCATTTTCAGTACTAATTTGAGAATGGGAGGTGATTTTCCTTGAGTAATCCAAGTGTTTTTGAACATTATTATTTCAGTTATTTCACGTTACAAATGCAAGGACTGCTGCTGTGTTCAGAGTTGCCCTTTTTTACCCTGCTCCGTTGAACTGTGCAGTGGAGCCAGAGGCCTGGCTTTTTTTTTATTATTATTATTACATTCTTTTATTGGTACATTGTAGGAATACAACACAATTGCATTTCTCACTGGGAATTGTACCTTTACATGATGCATCTTGGTTCTTATTTTTCCCCATTCCTAGCCCTCCCTTCACGCCCTCCACCCTTCCCTATTTACAAAGACTTTATTTCCATTTTTTCCATTT